AATGCAATAAAATCGAATCACAATCACGGTTATAGCCCCAGTTATTACTACCTTTGGAATATATACTTAAACTACTCGAAGAAATCATTTTGAAAAAAAACATTCGAGGTCAATAATGAATCCTACATCCAGACTTGCGGAGTTAGTATGGGATGGCTTTTGAGAGGCATCTTCATTGTATTCAATGATACCGTGCCAGAATTTAACCGATTCGCAACGGAAGCCAACATGCTTCATAAGAAGTACCTACCGTCTCACATTCGAATATTCTCTAACACAAGTAACGTACGAATATAAGGGACAACGCTTCCATGATTTGAATATACTAGTCATGAAAACGCATGCAAAGTCGAAGGAAAAGTTTCAGTATTTGAAACTTAATTCTTCTCAGCCCACATCAGTATTCATGCTCGAGCATGTAATAATCTAAACGATTTGTTACAGAAACATTGTGTGAAAGAGATTGCACAGATAGCGATATCGAAAGATACTCTTCAACGACAATTGTATCTCACATTTACGTTAATAAATTTTCACAACAGCATTCAATCCAAATATACGACGGTTTTAGCTCAAAAGAGCTGCATTAAAATACTAAGACACAATTGGAATTGACCCGTCACTTGGTAACACTTTTTTCAAACCCTCTATTTAGTGCTTTTCTTAGAAATAAAAACTTGAAAGATGAACTTAAAAGTTCTACTCTACACCTTAACAAACTCGTAATAAATGACGTACCAAACGACGAACAATTACTTTCCATTTTAACTTAACTGTATAATTCAAGTAGTAACGTCAAACCTAATCTTAATCTGTTATTATTAATAAATATTGTGTATAAAAGTAATAGGAGTGAATAAATTGCGAGCGCTGGGACAGGAAGTATGCTGTGCTGATCTTACCAGATCCTGGTACTTTCATATGCAAATGAATAGTCGCGCAGATGTCTATCATTTTATCGTGGCCAATCGTGAAAAGGGTCAATGAAGGCTGGCTACTAGGATCGCCCACGACTTACGCGAAGTTTGTTTTGACTGTACTATGCGCGATCGCGACACTTTCCACAGGAGTGTTTGACGAAAGAATTGTAAAAGTGCTGGAACGTTAAGACTACCATGATATTTCTTGCACAGAGGGAAGAGATGTCTTCGTCAGCGTGTCGTGTTGACATTCGACTTGTCAAAAACATGGAGATAAAGCCATGTCAAAAAGAACTCGTTTCGAAGAAACCTGGGATCTCTCACTTTCAGTTGCCATTCTCTTAGAGGAACATGCCTGCGACCTTTCCAATAACTCTCGCTTAGTTTGTTTAAATTTATTCCCGAACTCATCCATGTTTTTTTGCAGTCGACGCTTTCAGTCCACATTTTCCGCACGCATACGAACTGACAAGCTGTAGATCGACCGTCTCTGCCACAACAAATTCGATTTCTTCGCATGTCGTAGTTCTGTTGATCCCGCGAAACCGTCTATTCCGGTGTTTTATATTATCTATTTGTCTGCCACAAACAATGCACGTTGTTTCCTTGGTTCTAGACGATTTAATAGTTTCTTTGCTATTTTAGTTGGAGTGACTGTATTCATTGTGTTCATACTAACGTGAACGACCAACGCATTCAAGGGATCATTTAGAATAAATTTGCAAACTTTATGTTAATAAGCATCAACTATGAATTATTCATATCAACTAGAAACTTGCAGAAAGGGACAGTCTCTCGGGACTAATGTCTCTCACGTGAAATGTTTTGCATTCCCAATCAAACGCCCTAGGCGTTCGAATGTCTAGGAAACACAATTACATTAGGCCCAAGGACTGTCGACAGTCTATGTCAAACAATGTGAAGGCTAAATAAATTGATTTGGCCAATTACTGTTCCGACTGATGAAGGATTCATCAAAAAACACAAAAGAGCGCCATCACACAAGTGGGTAGTTCAATAACGGATCAATTGTCGTGCTATATCGACATAGGCTTTCTTCGAACTCAGTTTTGTATACCAATATTGTTTCTATGTTTACTTACTGCCCTCAGTCGGTGGGATGTTCGTCAATTTACCATCCCCATGGTGGATTTTGTTTTAAACCACTCAAACAACATCCAAAAATCACTCTCCAGAGAGAATTTCTTTCACCCCCTGCTATGAATATTGTTTGCACTCAGTCACGTATTATGCAACTATAATATTTGCCAATAGTATTACACTTACTTCGTACAAAGTCACTTTGTACCACACCTTGTTGAACCTCAGACTAGTAATACAAGAAAAAGTGCAAAGTTACCATGTG